AAATTCAATTGTATTATTGATTGTCATCCCATATAATCTCATAAATAGTTAAAAATCAACTCACATAATTAAGTCGATCGCGACATGATAAGTGCATTTATGTCCATATTTTTACCCCTTGTATAGACATATTTTGTGTGACAAACACTTTGATTTTATGCAAAGAAGTGTCTTAATTCCTTTGTTTATATCTTTTGATGCATAGTGTAGAGTGCAGGGAATTGTGTGCTTTTGAGGTATTTTGGATGAATTTGGAGTCAATGAGAGCCAAATATGAAGCTATGGAGATGGATGCAACACTTCCAAAGGAGTCTAGGGTGGTTCTTTCAATGGTCTTGGTCATGTGGGCAAACCAAAGCAAAAGAGAAGCAAGCGACCATGCAATTGCAATTCCCGACCTGCACGTCGACATCGTGGTTTTTGGACCATATCTCAAGCTAAAAACATCCAAATTACATGATTCTTGTCCCATTGAAAAGAAGACTCAAAGGGCTAAAACTCATATTCAGACATCAAAGCCTAAAAAGAAAGTCACTGTGGTCAAAATCATCCTTGAAGTTGAAGTTCCGAACTTACAGATTTCACCCGAAACTGACCACTGTTTGGTAATTTGATCATATCTCGGCCTAGGATTGTCCAAATTAAGTGATTCTTGCACCATTTGAAAGAAGACTCGAAGATCTACAACTTTCATGAAGACACCGAAGCCTAATTCTGAAGAAAAAAGGGTCAAAATTAGCCTGCAAGTCGAAGTTCTGTTGCAGATCAGCGCTCGACGCGTCGAGAACGCGTCGAATCCTGGCAGAATGTTTCTGTAATTTCTCCACGCGTCGAGAATTACGCTCCACGCGTTGAGCAGCCCATCTCTGTTTCTTTTGACTGCGTTATAACTCATTTTTTGGAGAAAAGAGTGAGGTTAGAACCCTAGATAGCAAGAACTCGTTTTCCTTTCATTTCCTTAGCTTAGATTAGTCTAGTATTTCATCTCTAACTCTTCTACAAAGCTTGTAATCATGGATTGGAGTGAGATTCAACCACAAAATCTTCATCTTCAATAGAGAAGCTTCTTACTCTTCTTCTTAAGCTTTTGTGCAATGTTTATGATATTTTCTTGTACTTTGTTGTTATTTATGCTTATGAAGTGTGAGTAGTTCGTTTTTGGGCTTGGATTAGGGTGATATTGCCAACCTAGATGCTAAATAGGTGATTATTGCATAAGGGGGAAGAACCCTAACCTAGAGTTCATTTGTTTGAGTTGGTTTTATGTTGAATCTTGCTAATATTTGGTACGTAACTCTTATTAGCTTGTTTTTGGATAGTTCTTCTCCACAATGAAGGTTGGGTGAAGAACTTAAGCCTCTCCTTTCTCAAACCCCATTTTCTTTCTATGAAAATAGGGAAGAATTGGGGGCCTAAATGCTTATGTACTTTAAGAGCTAGGAATTGATACACCATGAAAGTGGGGCAATCCTTGCTCTAATCCTTGTTCTTTAGCTTATGAAAATGGCTTTAAGCTAGGATTTTCTTGTGCATTGCCTTAATGTTCATTTGGTTGATGTTCTTCCCCTAATCCTTAAGTTGTTGAAGCATCTAGAAGGCAACATCCCCTAATTTGAGCCCATCTTTTATCATTGTGTTACTTGTGTTTAAATTGCATTGTTTTAACTAGATTTTTAGCCTTTAATTGTTGACATTACCCAACCATGAATTTGAATTTGCTTGGATTCTTGTGGGTTCCAATACTTTGGTGCCTAGAATTTTAGTTGTCACTCAAGTACGTGTCATAGTCCCAATCCCTTGCGGAACGATAATTTACACCCGTTTACTCACCATCTCTTTCCCGTACATCACGACACTTCATTAGATATTTAATAGTAAAACCAATTAATAAATAACTAAACAATAAAAAGGATTAACAACAATGTTTATAGTTGAATCAAAATTTAGAATGCGATTTTGTAAGTGAAGGGTTAGGGTTTGATAATTATATATACTTGGAGTTATATTGTAAATATAAAAATAAATTAGGTATAAAATAGAATATATACTAACTTAATATTACAAATAAGAATATATATATATATATATATATATATATATATATATATATATATATATACTAACTTAATATTACAAATAAATTGTGTTAATATTCACATCCGGACGGCCTCATTGAAGGCTTTATTGATGCATTAGACGACTGTCAGTTACATGATCTGGGAATGTCTGGGGGTCGGTTCACGTGGGAGAAAAGTCATGGTACAGAGGCGTGGGTGGAGGAAAAGCTAGACAGGGCGGTGGCGACGATTGATTGGGTGGAGTTGCACGAGGACGCAACAGTGCGCAAAGTCTTTACAGTAGAATCGGATCACAGTGCCATTTTCCTCGACCTAGAGACGCGTCTGGTACGCTCAGCCAGGTACTCTTTTAAATTCGAATCTGCATGGCTCCTTGATGCGGGTTGTGCGAAAGTGGTGGAGGCGGCGTGGAGCCAGACGATTGGGTTGGATTTCCAGCAGCGAATCGATATTTGTGGTCAACAGTTGAAAGGGTGGGGCGGGGACCATGCTAGGCAATTTGGGAATCGCATAAAGAAATTGCGACATCGTCTGGCAGTGTTGAAGGAAGACAGGTCGATGCAGGCAGTTCAGGAATTCCTAGAGGCGGAACTCGAGCTTGAGACCTTGTTGAGGCAGGAAGAATTGTTCTGGCTTCAGCGTTCAAAATAGCTCTGGTTAAAACACAGGGACGCTAATACGAAGTTTTTCCACAAGGCGGCCTCTGCACGCAGAAATCGGAACACGCTTCTACGAATCAAGGATCAGAATGGGGTGTGGAGGGAAGGGGTGGCAATGCACGCTGAAGTGTTGAGGTACTATAATCTTATTTTTTGCTCTGGGGGCTGTAATTCAGATCTGTTTTCGCGGGTGAGTCGGAGTGTGTCAGAAGAGATGAATGTTGTCCTGTTACAGCCATTCACAATCACGGATGTGAAGGCTGCTTTATTCTCTATGGCCCCGGAGAAAGCTCCGGGTCTGGACGGAATGTCACCCGCTTTTTATCAGCATTTCTGGCTCATTCTCGGCCGCGATTTGTCAATGTTTGTCTTAAGCTATATTGACACCTGCAGTTTCCCGCAGGGCCTGAACGTGTCTAATATTATTTTACTGCCCAAGAAAAAAGTCCCGGAATCGGTGGCTGACTTGCGACCGATCGCTCTTTGTAATGTTGTTTACAAAGTCCTGGCTAAGATGTTGGCTAATAAACTCAAAGATTTGTTGTGTCATGTCGTGTCGCAATCTCAAAGCGCCTTTGTCCCCGAGAGATTGCTCACCGATAATATTATTGTTGCTGGAGAGGTGGGTCACTTTCTTCGTAGGAAAGTGAGCGGGGCTATGGGTTGGGTAGCGCTGAAGCTAGATATGGCTAAAGCATACGATAGAATGGAGTGGGGCTTTCTGGAAGGAATTATGCTAGCGTTGGGCTTTAACCAGCAATGGGTGAGATTATTGATGTTATGTGTCTCCTCGGTCACCTATTCAATTCAGGTGAACGGGGAAACAGTGGGTACCGTGTGCCCCACTCGGGGTATTCGGCAAGGGGACCCACTTTCCCCTTATTTATTCATTCTCTGTGCCGAGGCGTTATCAGTCTTATTCCAGCAGGCGGAGGCTAGGGGCGACATTCATGGGGTGAAAGTGGCCCGGGGTGCGCTATCTATCACCCACCTATTTTTTTCTGACGACAACTTGCTGTTTTTCAGGGAAACACATCAGGAAGCTTCTAAAATCAAAGAGTGCTTAGACAGGTACTATATGGCATCGGGTCAGTTAATCAATTTTACCAAGTCTAGCGTTGTTTTCAGCGCCAATACTACTGCTGCAATAAAGAATATGATGTCGGAGTGTTTTGGGGTACGGGAATCACAAGACTTGGGGCGTTACTTAGGTCTCCCTTCGGTTCTCGGGAGGAATAAGGTCGCTACTTTTCGTTACATTGAGGAAAGAATCCGTGACCGGATTGGGTCATGGCAACACAAATTGTTATCAAGGGCAGGTAAAGAGGTTTTACTTAAAAGCATAGCTCAAGCCCTTCCTATTTTGACTATGTCCACTTTTCTGTTGCCAATTCGGAGCTGTGACACTCTAGAAAAAATGTTTAATCGTTTTTGGTGGGGCGGTGGTGGTACAGGCAGGGGAATTCATTAGCTAAGCTGGAGCCGGTAATGCGAGCCAAAATTCAGGGGGGGTTTGGGCTTCAAGCGGTTGCACGAGTTCAACCTGGAGTTACTTGTAAAGCAGGGCTGGTGGTTGTTGATTCATCCGGAGTCGTTGGTGAGTATGTTATTGAAAGCCAAATATTTTCCCAATTGTGAATTTATGGAAGCAAGTTTGGGTGGAAATCCAAGTTATTTTTGGCGCAGCATTATGGCAGGGCAGGATGTTTTAAAGTGGGGGTTAGCGCGGAGAGTAGGCGATGGTCTTGACACCAAAATATGGGGTTGGGGCTGGCTGTTTAATTCAATAAACGCAGCACTAACTACTCCATGCATTGAAGAACTTAAGGAGGCGAGAGTGAGTGGTTTGATGACCGAACAAGGAGATTGGGATGAAGGCGTGATACGGGACTTATTTTGGGAGGAAGATGTACGCAAAATCTTATCAACACCTATCAACAATTCTATGAAGAACTCTTGGAGATGGGTTGGTGATATTCGAGGGTGCTACACAGTGAAACATGGGTATCGTTTACTTACTACTCCTACAATGAGGTTGCCTTCGGATGTTAATTTTCACTCGTGGAATCGCTTGTGGGCGATTCAAGTGCCCCCCAAAGTGAAGAATCTCCTTTGGAGGTGCGCATGAGGAGTGTTGCCAGTCCGTGAAAATTTGAAAACGAAGAGGGTATGGATCGGGGGAGGCTGCCCATTATGTGGCTTCCCATCTGAAACGGCAGAACACATCTTCTGTGAGTGTTCTTGGGCTAGAGGTTTGTGGGGTATGGAAGACGTTCTTCAAGGGCACTGCCTAGCGAGCTTCATGGACTCGATTCTGGGAGGTTCGGTTGTGGAGAGATCTGTTCATTTAGCTGCCGTCTTCTGGACCTTGTGGCAGGCGCGGAACGATGTTGTATGGCGGTGCTCATCGCTGTCGATGGAGAATCTAAAAGTGCAGGTTGTGCAATCTCAAACACTATGGAAAAATGCCCTCAGCGGCTTGAGCAGCCTGGCGAACAGGCAGAATAGCGTCATTCACTGGTCACCTCCTCCTCATAACGTCCTTAAATGCAATGTGGATGCGGCCATCTTCGCTGACGGAGCGAGCTACGGAGTGGTGGTTCGTGACCACTTCGGCAGTTTTGTTGCGGCTCGAAGCGGTTGGATTACATGCACACGGGAGCCGCTCATCGCCGAAGTCCTTGCGGCGTATGAATCTCTCAAATGGTTATCTGGGATGCAGCATAATCGTATTATTTTAGATTCTGATTGTTTACCTTTCTGTAATTCTTTCAATTCGCGTACGATAGATTATTCTTATGAGGGTTTGATTGTAAAGCAATGTTTGTCAATTGCTAGGGACATAGGGGACGTTAAAGTCCCCATCATGTCAGGAGATCAGCGAACCATGTGGCTCACGAACTTGCACGGGCAACTAGTTCTTCGTCTGTCTCCAAGTCGTGGGCTGTTATCCCACCTACTTGTATTGCGGATTTGTTAGTTCCTTAATGAAATTCGTTCAGTTTGGTTTCAAAAAAAAAAAAAAAGAATATATATATATATATATATATATATATATATATATATATATATATATATATATATACACACACACACACACACACATATACTAACTTTTGTGTGTGTGTGTGTGTGTGTGTGTGTGTGTGTGTGTGTGTGTGTGTGTGTGTGTGTGTAAGCTAGGCCTGTAGACCGAGCATGGTATATATAGACCTGGCCTATTTAGTTTAATAGGCTTTGAAATATGCTCAAGTCTAGCCTTTTTACTCAACAAGACAGGTCTATCTAGGCCTTAATTAGGCCAGGCCTTAGACCCCTACGAAGGCAAATTATATTGTGCGCCCTGGCACAAAACGACGTTCTTTTGTACCTTTTCGCATGTCTGCTGTTAATTCCTTAAAAAAAATTCATGTTTCGAATATACAAAATTGTATAATAGAATACACAGAATTTTATACCTCAAAACACAGAATTTTATAACTGAATACACATAGTCTTTTTTGAAAGGATAATACACATAATCTAACATAATATATAATATACATAAACTTTTAACATAATACACATAAACTCTTAACTCTTTCAAAAAAAAATCCATGTTTCGAATGTATACAGGATTATATAATAGAATGTACAAAATTTTATACATGAAAACACAGAATTTTATACCTGAAAACATAAAATTTTATAATTGAAAAGTCCTAGGTTTCGAATGTACAAAGTTATATAATAGAATGCACATAATTTTATACCTGAAATTAATAAAACAACGTAACGTCGTTTTGGGAGGTGCGGACGCACATTATTTTGTACGTCCGGGTGCACGGTATAACGATTGCCCTACGAAGGGACCTGGCCTATTCCCAACCTAAACAAGACCAAGTTTTTGAAAGCCTTGAGTTAAGAAAAAAATCAAGAGTGTAGTGTGCATTTCGCGCACCAACAACACCCAACGTGTGCATAAAAGACTTTCCCCTTTTTTTTTCATCTCAGTTTTCCTCTTCTTCTTCTTTTTCCCCTTTTCTACCTCTCTCACCTTCCATCACATCCTATTTGGCAAGCAAAAAAATCTAACAAAAATTTGTGCTATTATGAATGCTCTAATGAAGTTAATCAAGTTGGACTTCAAATGTTTGAATCTCTGGACTTAAGTCATCTCTTTTTACTAATTTCGTTGATAAGACTCGACGACTTTCTGAAAATCATATCAATTAAAGATTGGCGAAGAGAAACAAAACAAAAATCCAACACATACTAATCAAAAATTCAAAATTGCATCTGCACAAACATAAACAAATTCAATATATAGTTCAAGAAAACACAATGGCCCTCATGCCAGATTTTACCAACACCTCCTTCCAATCTTGGTTACTTTTGGAAAGATTGGCTAATCAAAGATATACCAATAAAAAAAATAAAAATAAAAAAAAAAACAGTACAGTTCTATTGCATGGGGTACAACTCCATTGAAGGCACCAAGGACTTGTAAATCTCATACATCAACCTGTTCTCAAACTCAGTTGTGGTATACCCCATCTTAGCCCCCCGACCTCTGCCGATTCTCTTCTGCTCAATCCCATTCCCGGCGCCGCCGCTAAGGTACCCGACGTTGCCGGCGAAGCTGAGCATCATCTTCACATATGCATTCTTGATCCTAGTCCACAGCTTCACCGGCGACAGCATCTTCCACCGCAGCCTCGGCACCGCCTTTATCCGCCATGACCGCTTAGACCCAAACCTCACCACCTTCACGCTCTTCCTCGTTCCCTCCACCCGGCTGTACTTCCGCCTCCTCAGCGCCCTCTTTATTGCCCCGTTGAACTTGAACGGATTCGAAAGCACTTCCATTCTCTTCTCCTTCAAAAGCTATACAAAAGATTAATCGAAATCTCAGGCTGGATGACACTTATCGGAACTAGAACGCCGGCCGCCGGAGGTTGTTGGATTGATATTGTGTGGTGGAGGGAATATGGGGTGTCCTGTATTTATATGAGGGGAAATGTGTTGGGATTACGTGATAAAGATAACATGTTTGTGAGTGTATTGTATGGTCTGATTGAGGTCAACAAAGCCGGTAAACAATTCAACCATGGACTACTACGACCGCCAATAATGTATGGAATAAATAGTTTAAGGTTTAGTATAGAAAATGTGATTCAAATTTATGGAAATGTGGTGCCACCTTCCTAATTAAAGCTCTTTGCCGTATATGCTTTGATTTTGGCATGAGAAATGAATTCAAGTGTAGAAATGTGTGAAGAAGTTTGACCATTTGACATATGAGTATGTAGTTATGGAAATAGTGGAAATTTTACTTGTTAATAAGGTCAAATATTTTTTTTTATAAATTCACTATTGACAATTATAGTTAAATTGAAAATTTTGTATTTAGACTTGTCAAATAAAATATATTATTTAGAAAAATTACGTTAACACACATCTCATTAGGATAAGTTGCACTAGATCAGAGCCCTATGTTTGAAGAGGTCCCTAAGCATCTACTATAGTGTGAGTTTTTTTTTTTTTTTTAATTCAGACCATGTAGGAATGAGAGAAAGGAGAGAGAAGTAACTTAGGGGAAAAAAAAAAAAGTAGTCAGGGTGGTTGCCAGTTCCAACAGATGCACCCATTAGGAGTTGTTGGTGTGCTAAACGTGCACCAGCTATTTGTTTTTTTTTTTTATAATCCATAATAATAAAGCCCCAAAAAACCCATGATTAGTATGTGTAGCATATTCGTTTTTCTCTCACACACAGTCACACCCTCTCTCCCCTCCATCTCACTCAAAAGATCAGAAAAAATCACAATAAACCCCTATTAAGATTGCTTTAAGTAAGTTTGTGGGGATGGAGTTTTTTTGAGTCAACAAATCCTTAGTTCTTCTTTGTATACTTTAACTTAATGTATTAAGAATTTTTTTCACTATGTTCCAAACCTATAAAATTATATTATCGATTCAAGGTGTAAGACATTACACTTTTCTCCATAATTTTTTCTTTGAACAAGGTATGAAACATTTGTTGGCTCTACATCTTGGCCCTGTTTGGTAAAATGTTAGCCTATAGGCCAATTTTGGCTTATTTGACCACTATTAATTGTTTGATTTAATTAAAATATCAATATAAATATTTAGTTAATTAGCTTTTTACAACTCCAAAATGCTAAAATTGAAAAAGCTACTCCAAGCAACTTTTTCAATTAGCTTGTTGAGAAAAAAAATTATACCAAACAGCTAACAGTTAATAACTAATTTACCAAACACTTTTTTTACAATCAGCTAATGTTATCAACTATTTATACCTTCTAATTAACACAATCAGCTAATAACTAACAGCTATCAGCAAACAGCCATTTTATCAAACAGGCCCTTGTATTTCTTTTCTCAATCTCTACATTATCTTTTTACTTACTTGAAAGAGTTTTCTTTCTAAAATTACTGCCTATCTCTATTTGCTAGTTTAGTTTATATAGTTCCAACATATATTCCAAGAATGAATAAACATGTAATAAACACCAATATCATATATGACGTGTAGCCGACCATCCAGGCTACATAAATCAAAAGTTGAAACTGTTTTTGGAAGTAGCTATCCTAGTGTTGCTTGCAGAAATTAAAAATAAATATTGTGAAAGTTGAACGTAGACGCTGGCGTCACACAAAAGTGGATTTCATCTAGAAGGCCCGACAACCAAATGTATTCAACCCGAATTCATGCCCGTCTTTAAGCGATTAGTCCAAGTTGGTTGCCCGCCCGCACGTGCCACGTGTCTTCTCGTTAATCCCGTGGCTAGCTGCCTCCATTTCTTTAATCAAGTTTGTACAGCATCTTAAGATTTCCTTAATACGAACAGAATCTTGTTTAATTCCTTATTATTTTTTAATATACACTAAAACTTGCTTCCAAATCAGCTAATATCTACCAAGCAACTATTGGAATGCAAAATATTTGGAAGTGAAAATATATTGCGAGAAATACAGAGTCTATTCAAGTTAGTTAAATAGTTAATTTTGTAATTATAAAATTTTAAATTTAACTCTTTATAAGAGCTATTTATTGGTAACTACTTATAGTGCACATTCAGACATCAATTTGAGGCTTTATCATAAATCAAAAAATAAATAAATACATAAAGTCGCATGTACAACAAACAAAGTGTCTTCTCCCATTGAATTCCCAACTCTAAGGGCCCTTCACATTCTGATCCGACAGAGCATGTCGGAGGATGTAAATTACGGTGCCCCGACAGAGCATGTAGGAGGATGTAAATCACAGTGACTCAATGGTTAAAAAGAAATCAGGTTCGATTCCCGGCAATAGCATTTTTATATATCCATAAATTCATAACTATATATCCATAAATTTATAACTATATATCCACAAATTCATAACTATATATCCACAGTGAATGAATGAAGTAAAAATCCACAATGAATGAACTAAATATCCACAATGAATGAACTAAATATCCACAATGATTGAACTACATATCCACAATGAATGAACTAAATATCCATAAATTCATAACTATATATCCATAAATTCATAACTATATATCCACAATGAATGAATGAACTAAATATCCACAACGAATGAACTAAATATCCACAATAAATGAACTAATTATCCATAAATTCATAGCTATATATCCAGAAATTCATAACTATATATCCAGAAATTCATAACTATATATCCACAATAATGCTATTGCCGAGAATCGAACCTGAATTTTTTTAAAATGAGACACGTGTTTTTAATCAAAACGACGTCGTTTTGCATCGTATGCACCATGCGCATGGTGCATTCAGTTGCACAGCATAACTATTGATTAAATGTTGGTTGGGCCTACAAATAAATAATTTGGTTGAATGATGGTAGAAAGTGGGCCTAATTATATAGAATGGTCTAATATATGTTAAAACGTTTCATATTCAACTATACAAGGATTTGACCATTTTATGAATTAATTTAAGATTTTGAGTACAAAAATATCACCTGAAATCATGTTAGGTCATAGTAAAATCAAGATTCAATAGGATTATGGGAGAGAAATCCGCCGCCCCCCCTCCCCCCTTCCCCTTTAAAAAAAAAAAAAAAAAAAAGTTAGTACAAGAGTCATGCTACTCTTGTACTTTTTTGGACCCTAACCTCCGAACCCCAAGACCGTCATTATCTCGTGAGTAGGGTTGATCACAGTTCGCTTTGAATCATACGATTCGAATCAAACCATCTATTGTAGAAATTGAACTAAAATCTAGAGCAATTTTATTTATTTTTGTTAAGAGTGACAATTTGGTATATTTAATCCATGGGCGGCTATATTAAATTGTTTGCGACATGGGATGGGAAGATAATATTATCAAAGGAGTTAATACCAATTGAATTTCCTTGACTATTATGATTTACTTAATAAGGTTATCTGTTTAATTTTTTGCATGATTAGTCTCATAACTACTAAAAATGTTATCTTGTTAGGTCCTTTGTTTGATTTTTCAATAATTATCCTTCAAAGGCAAGGATAAAGTCATCTTTCCAAGCTTTGAGACATTGAATCAGTTATGTTAATGTCAAAATAGAAGTTAAAATTCCCAAATCCATAGTCAATGGCATCATTTCACATTTTCCCTCATTCTTCTGGACTGAAATCAATGGTTGAAATCTCACTCTATTTTTCACCCAAGGGAAGCTTTTCACCTGATCCGTTTGTTTTGTTTTGAGGGTTGCAGCAGAATCGGTATCTCCTTTACAATTTTCCACATTTTTATCCAAAAGTTAAAACAAAAATACAATAAGTTGATAGTGTAGCATTTTCATTCTAGACTTTGACCGATAAGAAATTTTTCAAACACTCCCAAAGTAAAATTATATTGTGAAGTCAAGAGAAGGTGATAGACAAAGTTGAGTTATATTGTCACATTAAGAGATGGTTATAGACAGGTCAGCCGAAGTATGAAAACACTCAACTGATACTGTTATGAGACTTTCAGATGCAATACAAATCCATAAACATTCAGCACATCAAACATTAAACTGCACAATCAACATATCAAATTCTAAGCACGCATCGCAATCGCAATAGCAATAGCAAAGCCAAATGACAAATAGAATTGAGCTTCAACCAAGCATCCATAGCCAGCAAAATAGTTTGCAATGGCCAAACATCCATGGCAATAAGTTCTTTCCGTCATCAACCCTGCCAAGTTAGTCAGGTTCCTAACTTGGAAACCACAAGATTATAAATTCAACTCCTAATGAGACAAGTGTAGCCTATTGACCTTATTGATTTGAGCCGATTAGCTATAGGCATCCTAGACTAGTTTACCTCCTTATGGTCATTTGCTGACAAACATCGTAAGGCGAGGTTTACCCAATGCGGTAGTCGCTGCAACTTTTCCCTCATCACTCAAAAAAGTTCTTTCCATTGACAGTCTAAACAGTAAAACAGAATTGAAATGTTTTCCCTAGCAGAGCAGAGGTTTTTTGTTCAATTACTCTCTATACCTTACACCATAAAGCTGCAATTGCTAATCGCTGAAACCTATAGAGAGAGAGACACCGATAGGATAGTTCACCACCAAACAACTAAGAGTGAAACAATAAGCATAGTTCAAACAAGAACTCATCAACCATACTATAGAAAAGGATTCCCTGCTCATTCATACAATCTGCAATCCTAAATGCTGAGCTTCATCAAACAAAAATGGCAAAAACAAATACAGATGAGATGCTAATGCTCCAATGGCTGGCCCCATATCAATAAGTTATTGCCATAAGACTGGAAGGATCAACAAGGCAGTTTATAGTTTCTCTCTGGAGCTTGAGCCAAAGAAATCAATAACATTCAATTCAAATCAAACCCAATGTAAACAATCACTTTAAATTAGAGTCTCAACATTTGCCTTCCCAAATGCTTCAAAATGCCAGTCAACAACACAGCATTCTTGTCACATCCTAAAGCAGATTAGTACACTGATAAAAGCAAGACCAAGATTGAATTTTGGACATAGGACTACCATGTAATAAATCCATAAAAGAGCTTCTTTTGTTTTATCGAATTCCATGTTATCTAGATAATCAACTAAAGTTGGTAATAACATCAAACACATTATTGTAAACACAGATAATGGCATCAAATTTCAAATTTGATGCTACTACATTGAGAAAAAAGACACTAGAAACAGGTTCACTTCGATAAAAAATGTAAAAATTAAAAAGAAAGAAAGAAAAAAAATTAACCAGATACTCAAGGAACATACGGAATACTTTGTAGTTCAGATCATCGAAACAGCAAAGAAAACACATAGTATTATCAAATCTAATCAATAGATGAAGTTCCGGCGGCGGCGGCAACATCCTCAACGGTGAATTTGCCTTTGTCCTTACCGGCGGCTCTGCCTTTGGCCTTCCGGTCGAGCAAAGCCTTGCGATCCTTGTCCAGCTTCAGCTTGGTGACCACGACCTTGGACGGGTGGATACCCACGTTGACGGTCGAGCCATTGACCTTCTCCCGGGTGATCCGCTCGATATGGATGACCCATTTCTTACGGTACACCTGGACGACCTTCCCGTCGCGGCCCTTGTACGTCCCGCGCACCACCATAACCTCGTCGTCCTTCCGGACGGGGATTGAACGGACGTTGTACTTGTTCCGGAGGTCCGACGAGAGGGGCGCGCTCATCAGCACCCTGCGCACGCTGGACGGCGCGGTGAAGTGCGCCTTCCGGGACTTCCGGCGAGAGCTGGAAACGCGGGGGTTGTACTTCATTCTCTCCGATTTGGACGACGGCGGCGGAGGCGTTGAGGTTTAGCGCGGCTGATTGGGAATTAGGGATTACGCTGTGCGAATGAATGAGGCAAAACAAAGTAGAGGCTTTAGGGTTTCTGGTGAGCAACACAGTGGGCTTCAATTTGTCACCGGGCCTTGGCCCATATACTAAATGGACTTCGGTCTATCTTTTAAGTCACGGCTTTCTCACCAATTAAGCAATTAATTTTAGATTATGATATTTTAGGGGCTTGTTTGTAGGAGGTTCAACATGAGATTAAGTTAGCAAATAGTTATGGTACAAGGAGAATGGGTAAAGTGAGAAGAGGTTGGTAGGTTCACTACCTCTAAAGTATCATTCATATATTAAAAGTGTCCTTTTACAAACCATTAGACAACCATATAATCCCATGATGAATCACTAAACACTTGCTTTTAAAATCAGGTCAGAGTTGAACTCTAATTAATCGATAAAAAAAAAAAAAAAGATTTTTTTGCAAGTTTGAGACTTGTAACTTGGCTTGATAATTTGATATGATATCTAGTTGGTAAAATGACAAGATAAGACATCTTTTAAAATTTGATTGTTTTTTAGAAATTGATGAACTAATAAGACTAAGTTAATTCGGCAAACTGAGTAAGTTAGATGACGACTAATTGGCTATGTGTGGTGATTCCTTGGAGGCTTGCGAAGTGATAGTATAAGGCATCTCTGCAAACTGAGTAGCTTAGGCAGCTAATAGGTTGAGTTTTAAAAAAAAAATAAAAATCGGCGAAGTGACAAAATAACACAGCTTTGCGATCTGAGTAAGTTAGTTGATTAAGTAGCTAGGTGTGGTGATGTCTTGGAGGCCAAGATACAAGTAAGATTGTTCGATCTCAAAACCTCTAGGAGATTTAACCTAAAACGTTTGATTTCTCCAATATTAGACTCTTCGAGTTTGACCTAGTCAATCACATGTGCAGTTTGGGTCAATTGAAATGGGCCTAAGTTGTCGGCCCATTGGAATAACCTTAGTAGCCTTATCCCATATCCCAATGGATATAACTATATGATTGTCTTTACTTTTTAGATTGTCTTTTATCCCTAAGAGCATCAATCATGGAGCGTTATGCTTTGCATCCGTATGCACCATGCATGGTGGTGCATACGGATGCAAAAATGACGTCGTTTTGGAGTCTAACTTAAGAAAAAAAAATCAAAATTGCATAACTACACATCCATAACTTCACTACACATCCATAATTTCATAACTACACTTCCAGAATTGCATAACTTCCAGAATTGCATAACTATAATTCCAGAATTGCATAACTACACATCCATAACTTCATAACTACACTTCCAGAATTGCATAACTACACTTCCAGAATTGCATAACTAAAAAATCTAAAATGAATGAACTAAAAATGAATAACATAATGTTGTTGCTGGGAATCGAAACTGGTTTTTTTTTTTTAAGTAGGGCGCGCGTTTTATGCAAAACGACGTCGTTTTTGCATCCGTATGCACCATGCAGGGTGCATACGAATGCACAACATAATTTGCCATCAATAACAGTGAAGATATTTTGTAGGTTTTGAGAAGTTTTTGTAAGTGTGATTAGGAAAGAGAATATTGGAGGGGGGAAAAAATAAAACAAAACTGATTAAAAAAAAAAAGTCACTGTCAGCGCCCCTGACGTGCCCAACTGGCACGTGCAGTGCATGCACCGCTAGGTGCACTTGTGACACCGCATGCACCGCTAGGCGCACCTATTTTCTCAGTGGGGCCCACTTTTCTGCCATTATCCCCTCTCTTGCAGATGATCCTCAACTATCTCTCTCTCTCTCCGTCAACATGACATTTTTCTTAGAAACTGTGCATTATCCACAATTATGAATGGTCTAAAAAGGATATTACTTCAAAGTGACTTGTAAAAAAAGGAAAAAAAATAAAACAAAACTGATAAAAAAAAAAAGTCACTGTCAGCGCCCCTAACGCGCCCAACTGGCGCGTGCAGTGCATGCATCGCTGGGCGCACCTATTTTCTCAGTGGGATTCACTTTTCTGTCATTGCAGATGCTACTCAACTCTCTTTCTCTCCGTCAACATGCCATTTTTCTTAGAAACACATTATCGACAAATATGAATGGCCTAAAAAGGATATTATTTCAAAGTGACTTGTAAACAAAATATTTTTAATTCTTTTTAAAACCATGATATATTGCAAGCTTGCAATAAATATAAAAGCTTTGCAAAATGACTTGTAAAAGTGGACCTAGGGGTTGTTTGGTTGGATGTAATTGTAATTCAATTACAGCCTAATTCTTTAGCCACCTAAATTACATTGTGTTTTGTTGGAGAGAATTGCAATTCAACTGAATTGCAATTCTTCATTTTGTTGAATTGCAATTCATATCCTTCTCATATGAATTGCAATTCAATAGGAGAAGGAAAGAGAAAATGAAAGAAAATGATTTTTTTACCTTTGCTTCTTATTATTATTATTAGTATTATTATTGAACAAAGGATATAATGCGTCAAAATTGGGGATTTATTTCAAACTCAATACCCAACTCTGCACGATGAGTGTTTGTTAAAATGCATCAGCTAGTTACCAATAACGTAACAAAAATATTCTGTACAAAATCATACTCCATAAATGCTAATTCTCAAAAATCTGAGCTATTTAACTAGAACTCTAGAAGTAGTCAAGAATGCCTTCTTCCACCAGACTCCATATCCTCTGGGTGTGAGTGACAATCGTCAGCCAAAGCAATCTCCATGAATGCTTGTCCTTCTGCTTCATCACCTCTTTTAGTTTCTTGATTGTCAACTCCAGCCTCTAAGCTCCCTGCGCCATTGTTGGCCGGAGTAGTTCTATCACACTCATCCATAGCCCGGAAATATGCATACGTCGCCCACCCTACAAGTACAAAAAGGGAAGCTCCAAATTCGCTACAATTTTATATCTTGCATTATTTTGTTTGATTCGCGACAGTTTTATAACGCGCAATCTTCAAAAAATTCAATTAGTAAATGACTTATAAAGGGATGGATGATGTTAAGGCATACCTCGAACATGATGTGGGGGTGGGAAGAACTGTAAGTAGCAAAACAAGGCAACTACAGAACCTGCAAAACAGTAAAAGCCCGTGAACGTGATCTAAGAAATGCATCAAATCCAACTTTCTTCTTCTGTTAGAGAAATGATTTCCGACTATATTTAGTACACGCAAATCAGATTCTAGTAGCACAAACCAAGTAAGCCTCCAGCAAACACGTCTTGCCAGTGGTGCCTGTAGTCATCCACTCGAGAAACCCCAACGAGAGCTGCCGCTATAAGAGGAAGCCAAACTAAACAGAGTTTTGCAACATGACCCCGGCGGTCAAATACTTTTATCTTCCCCGCTAAATACAGTGACAGAAATCCAAGACCAGCAAATGACACTGCAAAACCTAGAAGTTAGCAATTCCGCTGCGTGCACGGGAACACACACATTATAATTAATTTATTAGCAAAGTATCATTCAAAATACAAGCTCCTATTGTTTAGAATACACAAAAGTGTATATAGGTATAGCTGCTTGGTAAAGTCTCTTATTACTGCACTTACAGGAAGTGTGCCCACTTGGAAAACTCTTATGCCCCTCCACTATGACATTTTTTGCACCACTGCATATAACATTTCCCCATTTATCATAAACCTGTAAGGCCATTACAATTAAGTAGATCCTGTTAAGAGTAAAAACCAAAGAGGAGGAAACATTGAAAATAAGACCACGAAAAGCAATCCTATTGTAGCTCACATCCTTCCCATCTGGAAAACAACGCCAAAAGAAGTCTGGTCTAGGCCGACCAACTGCATCTTTTATGGAATCTGTGATAACAGCTGTCCCCAGAGTAGAGAATAAGAGCCCTGCAAGAAAACAGCACTCACCAAAGGTTATAATTCAAATGACAGAATTTGCAAAAGACTGAAAGTATAAGTCAGATTTAGTTACCTAGTATTGCATGATGAAGATCATAGACATCTCTTCGGTAAAAATAGAATAGCAGAAAGATGAAAATTGGCAACACAACTGCATAAATCTAAATAACATTTTGAACAAGTTAAACATGTTAATTGCTTGAGCAAAAAGTGACTCACTATTCACTAATAGTAGCAACATTAGTCAAGCAGTAAACTCACAGGCACAGCCCAGAAAGGAACAGTATTACTCTTAAGTGGATACTTGAGATCATCCATCATATCTTTCCCAACAAAACGATAAAATGGATGAATAAAATTCAGAGCAGCTATAATCCCAGCAAGAAGCAGCAGAATCAGCCAGTCATGCTTATGTGTCCTTGCCACTTTGACTCCATGAGACCTTAGAGTATGTGATCCAAGCTGGACTTCCCTCATTGCTGTCTGTTAAAGATATATTTTATTTTCTGTTGGTATTTAGACGATAGAATGAACCCAACAACTCTTTACAAAAGGCTAAACATGTAGATCAAACAAATGAATCTTAGTTATATAATCAAATTAAACAAGTGGCATCTGCAAAAAGAAATGCATTTTCCAAAAACATTCCTGTTATATGCATTACAAGTGCAGTTATCGTAGAAATAGGGATTAGAAAGAAGCATGTTTTTGGCAACATGAATAACATTCCATAAAACATATGCTCCCATTCATTCTCAGGTATCTAAATCTAGCAAATTAAGCAGTTCCAAATTACTTTCTTCAGTTTCTCAGATATTTAAGATGGTGACATGAAATACAATGTGGTTCATCATCCTCCTCCTACTATTAACTACTCCGTAATTACCAATCTGTGGCGGGAAATATACTTCTGAAAGTTAAAGTGAATGCTCTAATATGAAGCAACCTTGTTTCAATAAGACCAGTTTCAGCAAATAAGTCATTATTCAGGAATTCTCAAAAAAAAAAAAAAAAAAAAAAAAAAAAAGTCATTATTCAGGAGAAAGAATGACTCACTATGACACCCCCATTATAATGGAAAGTGCATATCAATAATTAATCTCACAGCTACATTAAATACATAGCAAAAGCAGTAATTACGTTTCATAAGACCAAAACAGTCATAAAGCTATTAAATACTGCAAAATGAAATGACAACATGTTTTATGGTATTTAGGTTGCAGCAGCATCTGTAAACTCAAACATTTTTAATAAATGATCAAAGAAAAAATAGAATATATATATATATATATATATATATACACACACACACACTCTTTCGAAACAAAAATTTTATTGTCTCAAGTACAGTGATCAAGATTATGCTCAATAAGATCAACATAATTTATTAATTAAAACAAAAAAAGGGACCAAGTCACTTATACCTTCTTATTGTGTGTTATCAATGGCAAATAAGGGTGAGAAAACGAATCACCACCACCATTAGAAGTCCTCAATCTTTGATCTGTCAACCCCTACAGAAACCCCAAAATATCAATCTTGAGCAAGGATGACAAATTACTGATATTGTCATAAACTGATTAGAAAAGTTTGAGTATCCAAAAAATTAAGGTAGTCGAAGCTAAAAGGGAGTCTTGATTCAGGTTAGGGTTGCTAGTTATTTAAATTGGTACTACAAGCCATGATTGAATATTAATCACAAAAAAGTTAGTTGAATAATTGTACCAAAATTACAACTAAATACCAAAATCATGAACCATACTGGCTTCATCACGATTGGCTTTCAACACAACTAAATGCCAAAACAATTGCATTAATAAATGCATACACTGCAATTAAACTGCACCCAATTTAGAGAGCTCAAACCAGTGAGCCGGTCAAATTCATGAAAACTGTAGAACAATTTCTCTCTCTCTCTCTCTATACACACACAAAATACAGAGAAGCATACATATAATAATGGTGTTAGTATCCATGAATCGGCGGAGAGCTCCATACCTGACCCCGGGAAAACCAACTGAAATTCTCAAGACAAAAGACGGATCTCAAACGGCACCAAGACATGGATGAAACAGAACTCCAGAAAAACAATAATCAGAACAAATCAACGAATTTACAGGTTAAGAAAAACGATGAAGAACCCGGATTCCAAAGTCCAGGAATTAAAAATATATATACTCCGTACATCACAGTGATAAAGCACATCCCACATGCCAGTACAAAACGTCATGTCAGTTAGGTATCCCCACACCAAGTCAATATCCACTGCACAGTAATACGTAAAAGTGTAAAACGTACCCTTAACGAAGCCAAGAAAGCTGGAAAAAATTAATGGCGGATCCTTCCAGTGTTGTTGTTGTTGTTTTTTTTTTTTTTTTTACCACAATCGAAAGCGATTATAGGAGAAAAAATGTAGCCTATAAAACGTTTACAGTTCAAGCAGAGGGTTTAGGTGGAGAAATGAAATAGAATCATTCAGGCTCAGTTTGGGAGAGTGAAATTAGAACTGTAACAATTAAACCGGAATAATAGTTATTACAAATATTTATTTAGAAAAAATTGAAAAATAATGATGATGGAGTGTTTGGTAAATAGCTCTTAACTATTGAGGTAATGAGTTTGAGTAGTTGATAATATTATATTGTAAAAAGATGTTTGGTAAATTAATTATTAACTAAGATTACATGTAAAATGAATTTCTAAAAAATCTAATTGAAAAAGTTGTTTTGAACAGTTTTTTGAATTTTAACGTTTTGAAACAATAAATTGTTATAAAAAAACTAATTAATTAAACACTTATATTAGTTGTTTAATTAAATTTAACAATTAATAATAATCAAATAAGTCAAAATTGACTAATAAACTAACTATGTTACCAAACAGGACTAATAATAATATTTTATGTGTCCGATTTGATTCAAATCCAGAGTATTAAATTTATGTTCTACCTACTTGGTAGTTGGTACTCACATATATATAATTTTATTAGTATTATGTATAAATTTCTCTTTCATAGTATAATGGGTCGTCTTTCGAAGATGCTCCAAAATCATGAATTCATGAGGATGCCTTGTGCACATGGCCACCTATCACTCAATGGATATTTTAAAAATTTAGATAGAAATGAAAGGAATAACAAAGAATGATAAATTATAAATTATATAAAACGTTACAATGATGTTATAATTATTATTTGTTTTTCACAAAATTTGTAGTTAAGAGTTTAACGCAATATGGTGGCATATAGAATTTATGAAATTCAGCCTACAAATAAAGTCATCTAATATGATGAAAATGAATGTGTAAAATTTTGCATCACGATCAATATTAACAAGTTCACATTAGTTTTTTTTTTTTTTTTTCTTTTGTATACCCAGGATTTTTACCGTCGAATACAGTGACTAATCTCCTCGCTGGATTGTAGACTCTTCTTTTGGGTGAGACAGTTGATCTGGAGATTTAAGACTGCTTTATTCCCAAAGCTAAAGTTTACATTACTAATCTCTTCCTAACAATTTCTAAGATGCTTCTATCGGGCAAGAATGAATCTCAAGAGTCTTTGAACATCCCCCGAGTAATAATCATAATTGAATACTAAGTGATCACAATACCCAATTACCTTGATTTACGGGAAAACATGCAGCAGTGCAGCACTATCTGTGTGGGCGTGTGTAGGTTATGTGTGAAACCTAACTTGTGATCTTAGCCAACAGTACAAAAAACCAAATTATCCTATGTTATCTCTAATGGACCAATATAAGCATTTTTCATTGAAAGTAAAACTTAAAATTTTATAATTACCCAATTAATTATCCTATCAACTTAGTTGAGTACTCGGGTTACCCAAAAACAAATAGTTAATACTCGATCTTGATAATTATTGAATTGCAATAGAGATTGCTTGAGCACAACGAAGACTAATAACACCATTTAGATATTATGGTCCTCCCATATCCTACTCTAGATTTCAAAAGGAATCTTTCAATACTTGTAATAATGTAATCAAATCAAATAACATAACTAAGTTACAATAAAATAAAAGACAACAAATAAAGTAGAAAATTAACATTATAAATTAATTTCATTGCCATATCTTATGAATTAAAGAAATCAAGAACTAAACGTCCAAATGATTTTCATAACTATTCATAATAATAATATTTTAAAAACAAATTAGTTTGCTTTATAAAACTAAGGGTTTTAAGGATATCATATTTTATTAAATTTATTAAATTGTATTATTAAGAAAGAAATTCTTGACTCAGCAGCAAAACATAGATAGAAAGCAACAGGTTGCCCAACTAACTTATCCCTCCACTATAATCTGAGTATTTATGTAACCGCCGTGGCCCCCAACAGCGTAGTAACCGCCCCCAAAAAGTCAGTCTGCGCCACCATTTTCGGCTGAAATGGACCCACCGCTCCCCGCCATGGCGGCCTCACTCGTCGACGCGCAACCGCTCACGGCGCTCTCAGCCTCCGCCGCCAAGATCCGCCTTATGTGCAGCTACGGCGGCCACATAGCGCACCGCCCACGCTGCAAGTCCCTGTGCTATGTCGGAGGCGAAACCCGCGTGGTCGCCGTTGACCGCCGCACCACCGCCGCTTCACTCTCTCCCCTCGTCGCCCACCTCTCGCGCGTTCTCTACAACAACCGGCCGTTTCACCTCAAGTACCAGCTCCCCAACGAGGAGCTGGATTCCCTCGTCTCCGTCACTTCCGATGAGGACTTCCAGAACATGCTCGAGGAGTACGACCGCATCTCCTCGTCCGCGTCTGATACGCCTTCTCGCATCCGATTGTTCCTCTTTCCTGATTCGCTAGGCTCGGCACTCCTCGACCCGAAAGGCGACTCCTGGTTCTCCGATGCTTTGAACAATTCCACAATTGTTAGGAAGGGCCAGTCTACTGATTCCGGTCCGCCCCCTGGATTGATGGGCCTTGATACTGTTGTTGGCTCCGACTTACTCTCTGTCGAGGGTCAAGCGGAGAGTTTGAGTAACAGTGGAGGTGGGGGCGGAGATGCTAAGCATGGATTGGAACTTGGTGGTTTGTTGCAGGAATCCTTGGTTTTGGAGACCAGTTCTTCGTTTGGCTCTACTAATTCTTCGATTTCAATGTCGAATTTGCCGGCGATTGGAGTTCACGGCGAGGAGAATGGTTTCAATTTGCTGGAAAAGAGGCTCAGAGTCCCCTCTTCGGCTTCTATTGAAAGGTACTATTTCGATATGATCTGATTGCTATTGAGTACTAAGTTTTGCTAATACTTAGGTTTAGGGTTTTAATTGCAGTCTCGTAGTATTGAAAATTAAAGTACTTTAGCATGCTGAAAGCTGAATTAATATCTATAAATAATGGATATCTATTAGAGCTTTGGCTTATTCATTGAACTTTACAGTGATATTAGTGTTGGAAGTGTTGGTTTTCAATCCAAACCATCAACATACCAAGAGCCATTTATTCAAGTTGTGTCTGGAGCAACAAGCTGCACTATCGACCCAGAAAGTCCCATCTCGAATGCTTCGAATTTGTTTCAGACGCAAAAAATGGTTCAGGTTCCTGCATATCAAGTCTCCCAGCAGTCAGATGGGAAGGCACAACATCATGGGGTGCAGTATGTTCATGGAGGTCCCTACTACATGCCTCAATATACTACGACTCCATTGCCATTGTCATCTTGCTATCCAGTGTATCAGGTTCCCGTGCAGCAGAGCCCATATACATTGAGTCAGCAATACCCAATTTACTTTGTTCCTGTGCACCCAACTCCGTCTATAAATATGTCAATGCAGTGTAGCGTAAATGATACTGCAACTATTTCTCCCAATCGACCCATACTGCATCCACAAGGACATGTTATCCCTCCGCCAACAGCTCAAAAGGATTTCCCGAGTGCTCAACAAGTACCTGACTCATCTGCAAAAGTTTACAGGACCATCCCGATATCAACTGTTCCTGTTAGTGCACCTTCCACTCAAGGTCAACAGCAGTTTGTCGGTCATCTTGAGGCACAATTTAGCTCCCAGCCTGTTTCTTCAACATCAGTTTCAGTGACTAATTATTCTGATGAGTTTGATGATGACCTTTCCTACGCTCAAATATATAAGAGTCAGCTGCCAGCTCCAGCATTTATCTCTCAGTGTCAAACCATTACAAAGGGGCAACAGTACTCTTATAAGAGTCCTCAATGCAGCAATACGTAAATAGCATGACAACCAAGGCCACATGGCTTCCTCAGTGAGGTCAACAGGCTATCACTAGAAGAACAAAATTTTGGTATGGGTGTGATTATTTTTCTTTTCTTTTCAACATTATAGTCTTCACCTTTCAGTATATTGTTATTTTTTTCCTTGTCTTACTCCCTTTGTCTATTTGTTTATTTTTTGTTCTTTCTCAACCCTCTCCCTCCCCTATCTCCATTACAGTCAAAACAGTTGTAATTTATTTTTCTACCAGTTAGTGTGGGAATTTAGTTTATTTCTAAGGCTTGCTTCGTCTTCATGTCAACTGTTGTAAGTTTTCTGTTTGTGAGTATTCAATACACAGGGTGGTTGTAAGTTCTAACGTCAACACAACATTATGAATTGAGTCAATATACAGATTCTGGATGTATATAATTTTTTTCTTGCCTTGTATTATTTATAAATGTGATGTAGAGAGTTTTTGGTACACGGGAAGTGAAGCTATTTTTTCTACACAAAAGTGATATGATTATAGCAAGAAAAAAAAGGGCAGTTCTTGTTAGTTAGAATTGAGAAAGTGTTGTCTTGCCTCTTAAATCTTAACCACTGTTGTAAAGATCAATGGTTTCTTGAATGTGTGGGGCGATTTGCAGGTGATTACTCTTCTGCTGACTTGGTTTAAAACCGGAAAACTATAAAGAAGACTCCTAAGGCAGGAATCTAATTACTGAGAAGGCTTGGAATCCTGCAAACTTTTTTCTTCATTCTACTAGTTTAGCAGAGCCAAATCTGGAAAACAAGAACTTCATTAGATATAAGCTATTTTTTTTTTTTTTTTTTCTGGGTTGTCTGTAAGAGAAATGTTTTGTTCTCTTTACCCACAAGGATTAGAATATATGGTCACATGTTACTCTCAGAGCTCCTGCCACCAAAAAATTTGGCGATTTTTGGCAATACCTTTCTTCTCCCTGTAACTGTGAAGGAGGTTGATCTATGTGTGAGCCTAAATGCTGGAGATGCAGACTTTCGGTACTTTGATCGTCTGCCTGGTGTCAGCTTTCCGCTTGTGCTCATTGATTTTCGTTGTGAGTTTTCCCACTTTTGCAGCTCTCTTTCGACCATAGCTGTTGCAGAGAGTGAACGCTCTTCCTCTGCCTTAAGCTCTTGTGTTTCCTTCTGAATCATCTCTGTTCTCATTAAGATTTCCTTTTCACTTGCTTCCAAAGCTTTGACCCAAGCCTCAGCTGCTGCAACTTTCTTATCTGCAATTTCTTCTGCCATAGCTGCACGCCCTGTTAAGTATTCATATTCAAATGTTGAGATTATTATCTTGGAGCTCTTCTTAGAAGCTCTATTTCTTATTGTCTTTTCTACAACAGCTCTTAGATTTTCCAGTGCTATCCCTTCTGATGACTTAACATTCTTAAGCTCTTGTATTGCAGCTTGGAGTTTGTCCTCAGCCAAGTCTGTTTCAGAATTCGTTTTCTGAATTTCTTCCTTAACTTTTGCAGTTTCTTCCATGGCAGCAACTCTTTCGTTCTTGGCAGCCTCGACTCCTGCCTTTAGTTGCTCAAGAGTGAGGGATAAATTTGAGGCGATGGAGTTGGCTTTTTCTTCAGATGCAGATGCAGCCTCCAGCTTGGCTTTCGCTCTAAGGAGCTTCGCGTTCAGGTTCTGAATTGTTACATCCCCCTTCTCGTTTTTCTTCTTGCATTGAGCCTTTTCTTCTGATACGCGCTTTAGCTCATTTCTTATGTCATCCATGGAAGCCATGCACTTGAAGCCTTCTTCCTTAACAGAAGCTAATGCCCTCTTTGCTGCTTCAAGTTCCTTGTTGATTGACTCCAATTCCGCGGATTCCTTTTCCTCGAGATTAGGCTTAGCATTTCTCTGAATACTTTTATCCATTTCCCTCACTTGTTTCAGTTCACTCTCTAAGATCTTGGCATCCAAATTTGCAGCAGAAAGTGCTGTTTCAAGCTTTACAGCTCTGTCAGTCTGTTGGATCAAACCATTAATCTTCTCCCTCATCTTCTCTATCAGAACAGAGTGTTTCTTGGCTTCTTCTGCTCTCTGAGCTTCAATGGCTCTGCACTCTTTAATGGCTTCAATTCGAGCCAACTCAACAACCACAATCTCTTCATTGATCTCCTCGATCTCCCTCTGTAAACCCTCAATTGTACTTGAACAATACTGCATTTTTGAGCCTGAACCACTCACTTCTTCCACAGCCCTCCTTTTTTCCTCTGAAACTGCAGCCATATCTTGCTTGAGTTTATTCATTTCTCGCTTCGCGTCTCCCAATTCCTTCATCACTTTCGCGTACCCATTGTAGTCTGTCTTCCCAAAACTCGCTCCCCCGGTTTTCGCCTTCTTCAGTTTCTCCATGTCCGCAGCCCGGAGCTTTAGCCTTGAATTCAGTTCTTCAATCCTTGCTGACAAATCTTTCACTGTCTTCTTCGCATCTGAGAGCTCGGTTTCTGCTTGGGATTTCACACTCTCTGCAACTCTTCTGCTCTCGCTGAACCGCCCCGCGTCTCTTCTCGCCACGTGAAGCTTTCTTATCTGCAGGCAACGCTGGATTAATACAGCCCAGCAAGGAATCTGGGAAGATGAAGAAACAAAAAAGTTGAGAAAACACAGACCTCTGAAGAATTTATATGGGATTTCTCGAGTGCAGTGTTGCCTTCAAGAATCCTTTCTCCGTACATATCAATGGCTGCTTTCACTGACCCAAATCTCCCTCTACCCTCCATCATCATCACGAGAAATGAACCTTGTGCTGCCAAATCTGAAGATGAGAGGAACAAAGAAGCATAACATTAACATTTTCAGGACATGATATTTGTGGGCATTAATTAAGGATGTGGTGCGTTTGGTTGTGATGTTGGAGTTGAGTTCGATAGGAGGCCACGAAATATTTGATAATGCGGGAGATGGTTGGTTGGTTGTTATTTGATGCAAAGAACAGCCAAGATTCTTCTCGGGTTTGTGCATTGAAAGCGTGGACCCCATGCCCAAATGGTCAGCATTCAAGAATAGTGTATATATTTTCTCGACATAAGAAATTTGTCCTATGCATATATTGTATTTTGTTTGGTTAATTATCCAATTAAAATGTTTTTTATTTGATAATTGGGTAATATTATGTTGGATAATTAATTTTTTTTTTATAATACTTTTGTCTACCCTGAGTCCATCTTAGGATACATTGGTAAGGGCTATTATGCCATAGATCTGTGTCCACCTTGCAAAGTAGATACATGTCCAATACGAGGTCATTATGCAATTCAAGGGCAAATTATATTGTGCATCCGTATGCACCCTGCATGGTGCATACAGATGCAAAAACGACGTCGTTTTGCATAAAACGCGCGCCCTACTTAAAAAAAATCAGTTTCGATTCCCAGCAACAACATTATTTATTCATTTTTAGTTCATTCATTTTGGATTTTTTAGTTATGAAATTCTGGAAGTGTAGTTATGCAATTTTGGAAGTGTAGTTATGCAATTCTGCATGTGTAATTATGAAGTTATGGATGTGTAGTTATGCAATTCTGGAATTATAGTTATGCAATTCTGGAAGTGTAGTTATGCAATTCTGGATGTGTAGTTATGCAATTCTGGAAGTGTAGTTATGCAATTCTGGATGTATACTTATGAAATTATGGATGTGTAGTTATGCAATTTTGATTTTTTTTTTTTTTTTTTTTTTTTTTTTTTTTTTTTTTTTTTTTAAGTTAGAAGCCAAAACGACGTCGTTTTTGCATACGTATGCACCATGCATGGTGCATACGGATGCACAGCATAACGCTCCCAATTCGGGAGTAACGGTGCCTTAGTGGTATCATTTTCTCTCTACCATTCAGAATTTTTTTTTTCTCTAAAATTGTCAAAAGAATTCAGCAACATAAAAAATTGTACTGTTACGTAACCGTGAATATAGAGTTCTGCAGTTGTGAATATAGAGTTAAAGAGTTATGAATATAGAGTTTAAAAATTATGAACATAGAGTTCTATAATTATGAACATAAAGTTATGAAATTGTGAATATGGAGTTCAAAAATTATGAACATAGAGTTCTATAATTATAAACATAGACTTCTATAATTGTGAACATAGAGTTTGGGAAGGAAATTGCCGAATGTGAAGACAAACGCCGTTCGGCGAAAGAAAGTAATTTTTTTAAAAAAAAATTGATACAGCTTCATTTTCCACCAAAACAACGCCGTTTTGGAACCACAGCATAATTTGCCCATTGGTAAATGGTAAGTAGACAACAATTATACCATGGACTTGGGTCTAGCTTGCAAGGTGGACCTAGATCCAAATACATAATTTACATACTGAATGTTCACAATTTACATATTAATTGTGAACATTTAGTATGTAAAATTGTGAATATTTAATATGTAAATTGTGTAATTTTAGACCCGGGTTCACAGAATAATTTGTCGTAAGTTTGAGAAATTCCAACTAAATTGATCACAGTTGATTTTTCATGGGACCTGTCCTATTGATTTTTTTTTTTTTTTTTTTTTTTTTTGTTTGAGTTGATCAATTATAAACAACTTAAACTAGTTTACCTCATTATCTTCTTTTGTCAATTAGGGTAACAAGGTTAACTTCACTCAAAGAATTGTCATACTTTATCAATTAGAATCATAAGATCGACTTTGCCCAAAGAGTTATCGTCTGATAAAGAGTTATCGTCCTTTGTTGACTAGGCTCACAAGCCGATTTCACCTAAAGAGTCGGCAGGCTTTCTGTAGATCAAAAGGATACTTACTATGCTCATAGTCATTGCTTTTATTTATCCAAGTTTGACATTTTGATACAATTGATAAGTAAACTATTAATGCAATTATAAAGTCTCTTGTAAAAGGTGTTGTATTAAAGAATTTTAAGTCAATAGATCATCTGACTGATCTATCAAATCGACCATGCCATCGACTTTCCCTTTCGTCTTCAAATTAATCATTCTGCCCTGTAATTGTGTCGTACGATGAATGAACACGTCGATATACAATCGGAGCTTTGTCTTAGAGCATTCATAGTAGTAGTAGTTATTTGTGATTTTTTAAGTTACACATAGGAGAGAGGATGGAGAAAAAAAAAAAAAAAAAAAAAAAAAAAAAAAGAGGAGAAAAAACAAAATGAAAAAAAAACTGACAAACTAAAAAAAAAAAAAAGAAAAAAAAGTTCAATACTGGTTTCTTCAGAGTGATCGCCACTCTGATGCTCCCCAACGGGCATTGCAAGCGCTCCTGTCTTCTTTTTTTTTTTTTTTTTTTTTTTTTTTTTTAATTCTGAAAAATTTTCATTTCTTACAGGAGTAAAATTTGCCAAAAAACTTCATCCCATATCAGTTCATTTTACACTACATCAGTTTTTTATCAGCTAAAAATTTAATAAAAACTACTACTATGAATGCTCTTAGGCCCAAAAACACATTTGGGTCCATACATCCAACACGTACTCCTTTGATCCAATCATTATGTGTGGATCATATTTTGTATACTGTAAAATAATGTACATTCAGTACAAAAATAATGTACATTTAGTACAAAAATAATGTACATTGTATTCAGGGGATGTACATTATTTTTATACTGAGTGTACATTATATTGTATAATGTACATTCAGTACAAAAATAATGTACATTTAGTATATTAAAAATGTATTTTTTGTTATGGTCCACATAACACTGTGTGAACCATGGTCTACACAATAATTTGCCCCTTTGATCTACCAGTTGTTATATCACGGATCAAGGTCCACCTTGCAAGGTGGACCCTAGTTCTAAATTGTGTATTTTTACGGGCTATTTGATTGGAGGTAGTTTAGGTGTAGTTGAATTGCAATTCCGCGGAGACCACAATTAGGCCGTTTGGTTGGAATGAATTGCAATTCCACCGAATTGTAATTCCGTCCAAATGCTGAATTACAATTTCGGACCCCCCCCCCTCCCCGGCCCCCGGTAACACCCCCAATTTTATCAACATTTTAAAACTTAAATTCACACGATAAACAACTAATCATTAAGGTAATAAAAAACGGAAGCTATTAAAACCGGGAAAGATGTTATGCCACACCCATAAAACCATGGGTGCACATGCTAAGTCTATCACAATCATACAGCATAACAAGTCTAGGCACACAGGCCAACAAAAGATAAACGTTTAAGCACATGAGCTACACTATCTAGAGTCCACATCTAGCGCGCTCGTCATCTACTCAAAACCTGTAAAACATAGGGATAACACCCGGTCAGAGAATAATGCTGGTAACCCATCAATACGCGTTAAATAACATAGTATATATATAGTTATAATCAAAAGCGTTTGGAACCGAGGAATACAGTATATAGTCATTTCAAAGCCAGAAGAAGATCGACATTAAAGACTCATCAATCACTCTCAACAAGAACGAGGACCATCAATCTCAACAAGACAACAATTCACAACAACAAGAGACAACACAACTCAAGATGCAACCTACCATTCACAAGGTAGAGCTCATCAAAGACATGCTCAAAAGCAAGGGAATCACACAATCACATAATGACACATTCATGTTTCAAGTTTCAAAGTTCTAACCTTATGCCCTGTTCCAACCTTATGGCTACCCCCGGCCTTATCACAGTTCCAACTGTTACCTCCTAGTGTCACCCTGTACTTCTGAGTCCAACCTTATTCCGCCTGGGACCGTCGTCCCCCACCTACACCGCCAATCATTCACCGCCGAACTCTCAATACACGAGGGTACCATTAAATATCATAGTCACACACCACCGATCATGTGAGCCAAGCTCAAGTCACAAACCACCAATTTCATTCATATTCACACATAGTCATCATCATCAAGAAGACTAAGGCCCATCAATAGCCTCAATCAAGTATCAACAAAGGGTACAACGATTTGTACAAGATCACACCATAAGAATCAATTAAGAGATCACAACAAAGACAGGAGACAATACTCAACAACAAAGGATATAATCCAACATCAAATGATTGACAACACAAGTTGCCAACCCCAATAAAAAGGAACAAACCACACATACTAGCATAACAACATCAAACTAGCATGCTCAACAAGCGGGTAAACCAAAATGGTTCCAACGAACCTTCAAGACTCATATTAGCCCAACGAATCACAAAGTTGGACCCTTAGCACGATTCAAGATGCCAAATCCTAACGTGGATTCCTAACGCTCCTTTTCACCCTCTTAAGCCTCTTCTTAGAGCTCTTCTTCCCCACCAACTTCTTACACAAGCCAAAACACAAGAAAGATTCTACTTAGATAAAGACACCCAAAAGATGGCTAAAAACACCAAAAAGCTATGAACCTTACCCTTTCCTATGGTTGGGAAGAAGAAAGTAGGAATCTTGGAGTGGGATCTTGCAACGCTAGAAGGTTCTCCTTTTTGCTTGAAGAATAAGCTAGGTTCTTTTTTAGAGAGATGTTTGAGTGTTTGAGGCTTAGGCTTGAGTGAGGAATGAATGAAATGTCTTGCTAGGGATAGCTTGAACAATAATTCATGGGTGAAAGGTCACTTTTGCCCTTACTAAGGTTGGAAAGACAAAGGGTAAGGGCACAAACCATAAAGCACAAGGTACACTTGATTGACTTTGTAGTCAAATTCTAGTCTCATGACTATTAAATTTCAGGATTTTTAGGAATGGATTACCAAAGAAAGCTTGGATTAAGTCTTCAATTAATCCCCAATTAGTATTTAGATTTATGGGGTGTCACCCCCCCCCCCCCCCCTTAGGAATTGTAATTCAGTGTTGAATTGGATATTGAAAAGACATTTTTGTCCCTGACATCTATTATTATTATTAGTACATGAGGGCATTTCAGTCATTGCATCAGTTATTCCCTTTCAATTCCCTGTAATATTATTTTGCATACCAAACACTGTAATTTGAATTCATACTTTATTCCTACCTTATTCTTTTCCCACCGAATCACAATTTCTTTCCACCTTAATTCCTTCCTTTCCACCAAACGGCCTGTTAGTATTGAAATTGTGAACATCTTGAATATAAATTGTATTTTTAAGTTTTAAAAATTTGTGAATAC